CTGCTATAAGTGCTCAGTGTGAACTGGCAATCTCATTGTGCAACCTCAATTGTTCCGTAGGTGCCCCCTATCAAATGATACCACATTGGTTCCCAGATTATTCCTGTATTTGATCTGGTTCAGTTTTTCATCGATGACTACCATTGGTGTTTTGGCACCAATGTGATTTCCACTCCAAATACTGACGTTGTCAATGACCCTAGTCACTTTAGAAGCGGCACACGCTTCGTCGAAGGCCTTTTCAGGATTTCTGTAAACTGTTTTGACCAGTTGAGCGATACAGGTGAAATCTGACCTAAATAAATAAGACCACGCAGTTTCAGTGTTCTACGCTGAAACAGCCATGGTCCCCAATTCATTAGAGAGACAGACGATGCTATTTTGTTGTTTACAGTGGCCTCCTCTGGGCATAACTCTATAAAACTGTGTGACAAAATAATCTGTCTGGTAATGCCTGTCTTTTTCGCGCCATTCTGGCACAGATAAACAATTTTGTAAAACACTGGTTAACTCATTTTACGCACAACGAAAATGAGGGAGTGAATCTATCCCTGTTATCGATTTTTACATGAAAGTATTGAACTCCTCCTCAGGGAGAATCAAGGAAACATTGCCCAGGAAATTTGTCCTCTATTGTGAACCACACTGAGACGAAGTGGGGTCAATAGAAAAACCAGACTTTACCTTTTTAATTTTTAAAACAAAATAGACATCCAACAAATGAAAACGTTATCACAAGTTCCTGAAGCTCTGGTTGGTGCATTGCTAAAAACGGGACATCCTTGCGTATGGGGAAGAAGGGTGGGGTGGGGGAGGGGAGGGAAGGGGAGAGACACCCAAATTGCAACAACTAAATTTGCATGCATTGTAGGCCCCGTTCCACAAAGAATCTGTAATCGAACAATGGCCTTAGCTAAGGCAAGAAGTTGAAAACAACTTCTTGGCTAAGGCGTCGAAGAATCCAACCGCCTTACTCTTCGATTGTCAGAGGTAAAATTGATTTTTTTTAGTAAGACTTATGTTGATGTTCACTTATGTTTCAGATTGTAGATCGCTGTAGTCTACATGTATGTGAGTACATGTAAGAAAAGTACATATTCTGTGGACTGTTTACGTGAGGTTGACTTTACTTCTTCGCTTTTTACATATTTTGAATTGGCCCGAGCGTGTTTACAAAGTTTTGTGTTTATGGGTCTCATCTTCCGAATCACCAACATCTTGTGATATTTGAAGGTATAACAGTCAAATACAAATGCGTCAAGCTAGAGCGGATGTTCATGGCCAGAAATGCGCAGCATTCACGCAATACGCGAGGGCGCTACAGTAGGGCTTCACGTGACTCAACTAGCCAATCACAGCACAACAATGGCATCGCACACAGACTCTGTGATAAGTGCTAAGCCCATTGTCAAGTAGTGTTAGTTCATGGTAACAAGCGTCTGACATGTGCAGAGAAGTTTATTGTAATATATATTGTTCTTATTGTTGCATTATTAAATCTAACTCTGTATCCAAGTAGTAACTATACTGTACCAAGTCAGGTACTGATGATTTTCAGAGGTCATATATTCCAGAATAAGCCATTACCACTAATTTATAATTTTAATTTTGTTTAATATATTATTCATAAAAGAGTTCATGAAAGATTATTTTAATTTGTTAAATCGTGATCTCATTCTTTTTATATTCAAATAATTGAGTAATGTGGGTAAAATTGGTCTTCCAATTCTTATTTGCATTTTTCCTTTACTACAAGATTATTTTGGAACAGTTGCAGCATTAAAATTTAAAATAAATAGCAATCTGAAAGAAGAATTTTGCATTATTATTATTAAATGATGATAGGAATTTTGGATTAAGATATTAGTTAAATACTGAGTAGTGATATTGTCAGTCAATTTATGTAGAATCTGATAATATCATTGAAAATACTGATTGAATTCTTGGCCTTGCACTGGGCAGTTTCACATTTGTGCCAAGTGCTTTTTTTTTGTACTCCATTGTACAGTGGTAAAAGTTCTTCAATTGCCATGAAAGTTTTTAATCAGATTCTGTATGGTGCCGCTATCTGCTGGTGCTATCGGCAACGAATTAGTTTGCCTTTGTTTCTGAGTGAATCTACCGTCTAAAATCACTATTTCTGAAAATATGTGCGTTTTGCTGAGGGTAGGCTAGGCAGTACACGGCAAACTTTTTAGTACGTGTGTACAACAGAATTTTTTTTAAAACTCTAGCGATATTTGGTCAGGAGTTGCTTGAAGCATAGCACAGCGTTGCTGTCTATCGGCATCAGGCCGTTAGTTTGTCAATTATCACGAATTACCCACGAATCGCGAACCCATTCATTTTCCTATGGCAATCTAGCAACTCATTAAAAGTGCACGCATGCGCAGTGGGATAAGCGTGACGTCATGCAGTGCATTTCTGGGGATGTACAGCAAAGAAATGATGGGCCATGATCACTTTTGCACTTGTGAAACGTGAGCCCACTTTGTAGGGAAGGACAATAATATCTACCGTTAATAAACGTTTGACTTTTAAAAGAAAAAATCCCTTGATCACCAAATTATTCCACGTCTAATCCCGTTAACAGGATTGCGATCTACTGGTAGCTTTTCCCAGGTTTTTGAGTTGTAAGTTTTAAGTTTTTGAATCAGTCTTGTGGTGGGAGTGGAGACATGTCAATTTCATTCGTAACGGTAAAACCAAATTAAAAACTCTAAAACAGGTTTATCGTTTATCGGTCCTAATTTTATCAGCGGTCATGGGAAGGACATACCAGGGGTACGTTAGTGAATGGGAAAATCGTTGACATTTTGAGGAAAGTATATTCGTTTGCTGTAAAAGGTTTAACACACGCCTTTAAGCATCTATCAAAAAGCAGTGGCAGATAGTGTAGGGAACTTTACCAGTGGTACCGGCTACGTTAACCTGGCTCGCCGAAGACATCAGAAATACGATCAATGCCAAGGCCATAGCCTCGCTCTCGGGTTGAAATTGGAAACCAATATGTGTGCGCTACGAAATTGAAAGAAAAAATGTTAATCTGATAATGTTACAATTAACGGCTATAATTTCCGTTTTCGTTTCTATGGTTTTGGTGCTGAATATGGTTACGATAAATCATTTAATTGAATTGAAGATTCATCATAATCACCGTGTTGATCTCGTTCAAGAAATAAATTAATTAAACTGTAAACGGGTATATAAAGATCAACTTTAATTGGTGTGAAGCCCCCGAACTTTAGGCTTGTGTGCCTTCTTCGGGGAATAAAAACATGGCTTTATTTATTTATTTATTTATTTATTACATGTAGTTCTTGAAGACGACACACCAGCCTAAAGCTCAGGCGCTTTCATTTATAGTTGATCTTAATAGTTGCGTTTTCAGTCTTATTTACTTATAATTCTAGAGATGCACACATACTTTGAAATGCACCAAAACACAAAAAATTACGTTGAAGAATTTTAGATACATAAACTAAGTCTTGGGTTAATTATCTAAGGATAAGGCCTACACCAGATTCAAAAAGAGACAATGGAAAATCATTTATATTTAAACATAATAAGATAAATAACAGTTACTTACCTTGTCGGAAGGTGAAAAATATGTAAGCGAAGCAATGCTTTGCCAAAATGAGTCCAAATTAGCGAACACGCAGATTACTGTTTTGATTTTCAGGTTTCTATTCTTTGGAACCTTCCACCCCCCATAAACGAGGCTAGAAACCAATACCTTTATATCCCCACGGTCACGTCGTGAGAAAGTAAACATGATCCTAAATAACACATTAAGAACAAGAACCCGTTTGCATTAATATTTGTTTCAACATTTGTTGGATTTTTTAAACAAATGTTTATTTTATTCTGCTTCCATGTAACGGAGGAAGCGCTTGGTTTGGCTTGCAACTTGTTTTCAAGGAAGTTAGTTTTTACGTTTAGCAACGTGCATCCGGTTGTCTTTATTGTACCTTATCTATTTGTATCAGTTAAACATCCGCAGTTCCGGATGGTACAAATGTAAACGAGGCTATATTAATTAATGCAGACGCAGCCTCTACCTGAAGCACTCATCAATAGCCTCGTTCCTGAAAGGTCTCCAAGAGGTCACCTGATAACAAGGAAAGTCCTGGGCTCCGTATCTCGAAAGGTTCGCTATGTTGCGCACGTGTGCAAGTGTCTCAATTCCATAACCGATTCTATTTCGAGATACAGGACCATGGAATCGAGACGCTTTCGCACGTGCGCAAGTGTCTCGATTCCATAACCGATTCTTTCGAGATACGGGGCCATGGAATCGAGGCGCTTGCGCACGTGCGCAACATAGCGAACCTTTCGAGATACGGAGCCCAGATCTGAAAGACGCGTATTGATTTTAATAGAGCTGTTGTTTGAAGAAACCTTTTTATTCGCAATAGTTTAAATCTTATACATAGCACACAAGGATTATTGGAATATACAGCAGTCTATTTATATACATGTATAGAGTAAGTCAAAATGCATTTCAGACTATTTGTCAAAAATTATCCTTTACAGTTCATTGAAATTGTACGTAACATTACGTATAATAATTTTGATATAAAATGATCATCTTTAATTGCGTCCATAATTTCATCTCAAATATCATTATAATATATTTTCTTTAAATCTAAACAAAATGCTTCACTGTTGTGGCCCTATACATGTGTACACCACGCGGAGAAATAAATAGTACTTTATTCATCCGTTTAGTCAAAGTTGTGAGAACGCTCTGTACCATACCATATATACTCACCTGTTTTACAATTGTTTTCAATAGGATATGTACAATAACCATATATTCAAAATCGGACAGTCAAGAAGATTGGCATCGTTAATGCATACACACTGTATTTCGTAACCGTACTGAATAGGTACTTGTAATAAATACATATGGTCTACTATATATATATATATATATATATATATATATATATATATATATATATATATATTTCACGCACTGTAAGTTGCTTGACGCATCACAAACGTGTAATGCCTTAAAAGAAGCAATTTGAGTAGAAAACAAAGTTTTTGCTTAACAATGGAATTCATACATGTTAAAGATACATATGCTAAACTAAACACAGGCATTTGGTCGGGCTTCGTTGCAAAAATTTGACTTCATCTATAACTTAAACAAAACTCTTTCCAATCTTCTATCTCACTAATTATATTAACTAAATGTGCTCTCCAATAAAAGATAAAAACATTGATCTCTTTAAAATACACAAAATACTCTAACATAGACTTAGTGCCTTGAATTGTTGTCAAATATTTACCTCAACTGTTTTTGTTATGCACGCAACGAAAATCAATGGCATTTTTTTTTATTCAATTCAGTTTGTGCGTATTCTGTTTCTTTTTCCATCTAGCATTTGTGTTATCGGAGGAATTTCTATTTTGTCTTGCTGTTGCAAATGCAATGTATGCAGTGTATTTTATTCATATCATGTATGCTCTTGATTAAGCTATGAAATATGGTGTTTTTTATGTAACTGTCCGAGAAAGCTTATATCGCTGTCCGTGAAACTATCCCTGTGGATCATTTGGACCCAGCCATCGTTCCCTAAAAACTAAATTACATGTACATGTATGCTTTGCCAAGTCCCTTCATTTGGTTGAACTTTTCTTTTTTGTGTGATGTCTTATAATTGATAGTCGGTCGTTTAATTCCAAGATTTTTTCTCATGAGTCTCAGATGCTGTTTTATTGTGGCAATATCAGTCGCAACGATAAAAGCAATAATGGTGCCAATTATTGCTAACCCAAAGGTTCCTATGAATCCAGCCAGTGGCGCCTCCATGCGGGGGTTTCCAAGACGACGGGATGAGTCAGGAAGACTTAAACTGGTGTCTGAAAAAAGAGTAAAACCTCATTCAGAAAACCCCATTTAATAGAGGTGTATACTTATTATTGTTATTATTATTGTTATAAAAAATTCGAAAATGAAAAAGAAAACCAATCATATTAACAGTTCGTAAGGTAGACGCAATTAGTGTTATAGCTTAGAAAAACGTAGATCAATGCCGTTTAAAATAGTACGAGCTATCTTAACAAGGTGCCCATATACTACTGGCACATATCATTGTTTGTCTTTGATAATACGATAGGCATGTGGTGTGTTTTTATGGCGGGCCTATTTACGGGAACTTGGGATCGGTGTTCCCCCCCCTCCCCCCAAATATAAGAATGATTACGTACTGCTGCAGCCAATAAAGTCTGGGATCCACCTTGTCTTGGAAACACAACGGACGCGTCGTCTAACGTCACCATCGGGGAAAACGGAGCCGTTTAAGCAGTAATATACCACCCATTTATTGTACAGAATAATTTCGGGTTTGCTGACAATAGTAATCTCGGTAACATCTCTTGGAATTGTACAAACTATCACTGAAATAAAAGACGAGCGTGATAATTGTGCTTGAGAAACAAGGTCAAAATTCGTCCTTCTTCTTACATATAATTTTCATCGATAATAAAGTGTTAACTAACTGATGAATGAGACTTTTGGATAATATAGATATGCCATTTCAATGTGGAAAATGGTCACAATAGTTCACAATGGTACACAACTTTCACAATAGTTCACAACTTTATCGCTTTGTTCACAATTGTTTAAAAAACTTATCTATTCACTATTTTGGAGATTAAGTTTCCAATTGTGATTGAAAATCTAGAACTTAAAGGCCTGCTTGTACATGTAAATCGTAGTTTTGTTAATGGTTTTGGATATAGTATACCTGGGTGGTTAACAAAAAGTGCTGAAATTTCCAAGGAAAATAAAATGTTGCTATGCAAAGGTCCAGCGACCATCATATAGATTCAAAATCTGTCCAAGTCGTACTTACGTTCACACTGGACGTCGGAGTTGCTCCACGTCCCGTCTTTCAGGCACTCAGTGCCACCGGAAGTTGGCGTACTGACCAGCGTATAGCCCTCATCACAGGTGTATTGTACCACAGTCCCAATGGCAGTTTTGTTAGTGTTGTGAGACGCATGGGGTATCTCCGGTACACGTGGAAATTCTGAAGGAACGCTGGTCGTATAAGTGTTTGGAATCGTTGTATTGCCCTCAGGGACTGTCAGTGCGGTAGAGGTACCGTTTTCTGTAGACAGGTGGGTGAAATTATTCGATGTTTCAGTGTGGCTGAAAACGCCAGTCGCAGCCGTTGTTGCAGTGGATACTGGAGACAAGATGTTGTTCTCTAAGACGCTGGGAAGCGTGGTGCCGACAGGAACACTTGACGTCTGGAATGTGTTAGTTGTGACTGAAGGTACAACTTGGCTCAGAACCCCTGGCGACATCGAGGGCGATGTCGTTTCGATGACCAATGGTTGTGAAGTGCTAATACGAGAATCAGCGTTGGTCACAGCTGGCATATATAGCCTTGATTCAATTTGGAATGTAGTCTCTGTCCAGCTAGGCGATACCATCGATGAATCGATTTGTGTAGGGGTGGTCGCTGTATTAAACGGGACCGATCTGCTTATTTGTGTACCGTCATTTTGGGTGCTGATATATGTGCTGCCAGCGTACTGAACCGAAGTTCCGACGTTTTGAATAAATGGAACGCTGGTGATGTAGCTCTCTGCGGTAAGCAGAGCAGAATTTACCTCAGAATATACGTCACTGATAACAGTGGTGACGTCGTAGGTTATAGTCTTGAGTGAGCTCTCAGTTGGATATATACTGTCGTCATTGATAATAAAAGTGGTAAGCAAACTCACCATGGAAACGTCAGTGTTCGAATAAATTGCGCTGGATCTTTCATCCCTGTCACGGAGAGGTACTCTGCTGGCGTCGACAAGGTTAGCGTCAAGGGCATTTTGTGGTTTTTGCACTGTTGGACAGAAATCATAACAAGCACACACATCTATTTAAAAACATTTAGGAATCTTGCATGTTTTAACAGTAAAATTTAATCACAATTAACAACAGGTAAAACGATATACTGTCCAAACTTATCATAGGAGCACACGGTGAAGCAGCACAAAATTGCCTCCTTACAGCTCTGTTTTGGGCATATTTATCGCGTTAAACACGGGCTCTACCGTGGGGGCCATTCTTAATGGAAACTTATGTATTGGAAATTATATTTCTATATTTAATTGCAATTAAGACCTAATGAAGAAATGAGATTTTTTTGTATTCATATTATCATTTATATATAGGCACGTGCTTATACGGTGCATAAGTAAACACGCGCACATACAAAAGTATACATACACACCAATAACACGACACACACATGCATGCTTACGTACCAGTGGAAAATGTTGCCGAAAACCCATTTCTCTCAGCCAGCTTCCTATGATCCGCGTAGAATAAGATCCACAAAGAGGAAGCATTCACAACACTTGGAATCCTGTTTTGACACACTTCTGCGAGTAGAGTGCCAACTTGAGATTGTTCTCTCACCTTGATTGTCAATGGAAGAGGACGATAAAAAACTTCGGTGAAATAGGTATTCTGTTCTATCGAATGTAATAGTGGCTGATAAGTTAATCGTTGCTTGAGGTACCCTCCTTTCGGAGTCATGTAATCAAGTCATGTGATCATGTTTTGCCAAAGGGTCGAAACTTGTTGTCTCATAAGGGACACGATCAAAAATAATTATATTTATATATATATATTTGATTGAACAGTTAAAGAGATAAAAACTCTTCGTATGAGATCTATATTTTACAATAAAAACATTGTAAACAACTCATAGAAATATAATTAATATATTCTGTTTTAACACAAAAAACGGCAGTTATAGCTATTATTCTGATATCTGATCTTGTCATCGGACCATGTGACCTCCATAGATGGCTATACTCTTTAATAATCCTTTAAGAGATTATTACAAAAAAAAACTTTTTAGAAAAAAAACAGGGACAAACTTTGAATGTATAAAGTATGGGAAAATTTACTCCAGTTTACTCCAGGAAAATTCATTTTTTTGCCAAAACAAACAGTTATTATCCCTTTAAGGTCGTTTTTATTTATACCAAAATCCCTAAAGAAAACTTATTGTTCATGGAATCAAAACGATAATCCGAAATGATTGACAAGATTACATAAGAGCTCTGAAGCGTAGAGTGACTAAAATATTATGGTAGGCAGATACGCATTAAGGTATTTTGTGGGGTCGCAGATGGAATATATGGCAAAGTTGAATATAAAGGGACTGTCAAATGACGCAATAATAAAATATAAAATAAGGAAATAAACATTCAGGGGCTTTGATAGAGAAAACTTTTTAGAATTGTTCGTAAAAAACATCACGGAATGCAGAATAATACAAAATCTATCAAAATATATATTATTTTTACCTGAACGTAATCTCGGCAGGGTGAATTGTTGTCATACTCCAAATCTACATGTGTAAATTCAAGCACCACTGTTTGGTCTGTTCTGGTAGTTGATATTTCAAACACACAAAAACAGTTGGCTTCGTAGGCTGACGGGTAGCCGGGAGATGAGATGTTTCCAGACTGGTCAATGTATGTACCGCCGCAATCTGAGAAGTAAAAAAGGAAGGTTGTTGGTTGCAGTCCATATATAGTTTGAGCTGGGACTGACCGGTTTTATAATAATTAGATGAGAAAGACCCTCAATCGCATCAAAGGTATAAACGTCGAGCGTTAGACGTGTATGCAGCAGAAAAGGGACATATTTCCACTTTTTTGCAAGGAAGCTTAGGCAACAGATAAATTGTCAGTTGTGGACTTACCACATGACGAGGATATTCTATCGTAGTTGGACATTTCGTATTTGTCTGTAGCAAAACGTAATTCACGAGTTTGGAGAAGACCAAGTGCCGCTTTAGGGCCGTATAGGTCTCTCAGAGCGTTGGAGTTAAAACAGATTGACCATGACAGGAGGAAGTGAAGGTATCGAGAAAAGCATAAGAAAGCATAGACCCTGCAAACCTATGGCAATGTGATTGTCTAAGAAACGGTTTTAGAAATTAAGTGTTGACCAAAATTTGTTCTTTACTGTTCGCATTGTGACCTATTTCAACAAATCCGAAGAAGTCTACTTATATAAAACGGCCACTGGTGTAAAACATCAACCTTTAAGAATAAATGACTAACCGTTGTTGGCCTCAATGTCAGCATGAAACCCTTGCCTCGTTCCATAAGTGTCCGAAATCAACAGTAAACGAATGCCTGTGTTGGTCAGCATTGTCAGTCCCGTCCACAAGCCGCAGAGACCAATCATGTACTTGTCGTAAGTGTAGTCAAACAACTGAAATAAAAATGAATTGTAATGAGAGAGGTAATGTTCTGTCACCAGACCCCGAGCATATATCTAGCTATGTGACCTGTTCTAGCTGCCGTGTACATGTACATATTAACGTTCGGTTTTACCGCTCGCAACGGTGACTCGATTATGCATTTAATTATTTCGCAAGTTTAGTGTTAGGCTGTTCATTTTTCCTTATTAAATAATTTCTAATATTTTTTGTTTTTAATGAACTCAAAAATAAAAATTCTACACTCATTATCTGTATCAAAATTGAATCACAGGCTTCATTTATCTTACCCTTGGTTCTAGATTTCAGTATTGCCAGCTTGATCTTGATTTCAATACTGACGCTAGAAACCAGTGGCAGACTGGGGGTGTGTTCGGCAAAATTTTGCCTGGGGCGCTTCCATATTTGGAAGTCACATGTCTCGTACGTCATAGATCTGNTCTGTATCAAAATTGAATCACAGGCTTCATTTATCTTACCCTTGGTTCTAGATTTCAGTATTGCCAGCTCGATCTTGATTTCACATGTAACCCATATCAGCAATACTGAATCTAGAAACCAGTGGCAGACTGGGGGTGTGTTCGGCAAAATTTTGCCTGGGGCGCTTCCATATTTGGAAGTCACATGTCTCGTATGTCACAGAGCTGTCCCGCCTGGAGCTGCCTTTCCCGCATTGAGCTGACGTCATCTCGTGCAGACGAGACGAAGAAGCAAAGTGGCTGACGCTGAGTTTGAAGTTTGAACTATGGAATACCTTGCAATCGAAAATCAGTGCCACAACACAAGCACCTTTCTGCTTTAAAAACGGATTTTTTGTATAGCCATTGCGCAGTCCTTATAGTGGTATCGGACATACAGTGTGGCTGTCAAACTTTGCACACGGCAAGCACGTGTATTGTGTTTATATCTTCAGGAGCAAATGTGTTTTGATAAGAAAAAATATATATATATAAATAAAATAAACATCTAGCATGTCTTTTTCTTTTAAAAAGATATTATTAATTTTTCAATTCACATCTTAAATACAGTAAAAAAATGTAAATAAAGCAAAATTAACCTTTACGTTTGATTTTGGACTAATGATATTCAACTGCAGATTCAATGCGGAGCAGTTCCTTTGATTGACGGATACTCGAGACTGCGCTGTTCGTCATTGCTCACCTTCAACAAATCGTAAGGGCAACCCCTGCCATACTGAATATCAAACGTTGAAAACCGGAGCCTGATGGAGGACCCGTTAGTCAGAGGCTTGATGACGTACAAGCAGTTCACGTTAACTGGGTAATTACTTGGATAATTTGGAGAAGCGACTTGAAGTGCCCCCTCCGGCACTACCTCGTCACAGTCAGCTGCAATACAAAAATATGCTTCTTTTTGTGAGCGATGTGCATTTGTCTTTCAGTCATTCTGTCCATCAATCCATCAATCCATCAATCTCTCTCTCTCTCTCTCTCTCTCTCTCTCTCTCTCAATATATATATATATATATATATATATATATATATATATATATATATATATATATATATATATATAATATCCCTAATAAAAATGTCAGCATCAAACTTGTACCGTTAAGTATGCATATATTATGCAAAACATACCATTCAAAGTGTTAAATGTGGCTGAGAATCCAGTAGAAGATCGGCTTGAGTCGGTTTCGAAAATCACCTCATAACCAAATGCGTGCGAGTGGATGATGTACATAGAATAGTCTCCACATAGACGTAAATTCCTCAATCCGGTCAGTGTGTTGACCTGAGGTGGAGATGGGAAAATTGAGTCCAAGCTAGGCCTCGATATATATATATATGCCTCGAATTCTGTTATTATATATATATATATATATATAAATATATATATAAATATATATATATATATATATATATATTTTATTGCAGAAAATAGAATGAATAACTATACAATTGTAAATCAACTAATAAAATAATTAATTATCGATACCTGTAGTGACACAAAGGATCATATTGAGAGAAACAGAAAAAAATGATAAAGAAAATCAATTAAAATATACATAGAGACAAAAAAAACATATCTAACTAATATACATGTATATTAAAAAATAAAAATAATGGATACGTTGAGGACGAATACGCACAATTTCTTTATACCTTAAACTAATCTAAGAGTAACTGATGATACTAATAATAATGATAATAATAATAATAATAA